TGTGAGAACAACACTGTATTGTGCCAGCGGGCCCAGGCAGGATACATTTTCTCATTTACGCAGGTTGTGTCCTTCCAGATTGAATGAATGTTGCTTAAGAACTTTGTGGATGTGTTGTAGAAAGTACTGGAAGTGTTTGTGTTGAAGTATCATGAGGTTTCTGATTGCTGTCATGTGTGTACGAGGGAAATAACAGACATTTGCAACTCATAAATCAGCATTTGTCTGGGTCTGAATGGGTCTGAACATCCCAGCAGCTTGTTGTGGCCAGCAGACCAGCCTGCTCTTCTAGGAGGAGGTGGGTGCGTGACCTCTGTTGCGAGCGTGGGGTTTTTACAGCACTCAGGACCAGTATTGTACACAACTTTCTCAATGCTCTCTCAAGTTGTATTTTTTTTCTGTCTTTCACAATAGGGTTATGAATACAGCCGGGATGCAAACCCTACCCGGAATTGCCTGGAGAAGGCTGTGGCAGCACTGGATGGAGCTAAGTACAGTAAGCACTGAGTAGGGTCCTAGATGTCAGCGTGCGTGTCCCCTACAGTGTCTCCAGGAGGCACAACTTGGGGAGTGAGGACACTGAGGTGTCAGCAGCAGTTGTGTCACGGCAAGGCTTTCACAGCCACTGGCTGATGGTTAAAATCACATTAAAATACAGCATCTGCCATTTACTCTTTTCTGTTTTAGGTTTAGCTTTTGCTTCTGGCTCTTCTGCTACTTTGATTGTTACTCACCTGTTAAAGGCGGGGGATACGATAATCTGCATGGACGATGTCTATGGAGGGATGTAAAGCACAAGTGTGGGTCGTTGTCATTAAGTATACCTACTTGTGATTCTCAGGAGCTTTCTGAATTTCCCATGTAGCACCATGCTTTTCTTTAAAGCCTTTTCATTTCGTGAGAACACAGAACACTCCTGTCTGATTTTGGTGTTAGAAATTCAATCAGTGAATTCTCCAGCACATCACGGAGGTTTAAAAAATATATTAATCTTCCCTGAAAGCACAGCGTGCATGTGTTGTGCCACCATGTTCCGAATGCCTCAGTGATACCCACTGTTAGGTTTTGATCGTGCTTGCACGCTGCAGCCTGGTTCTTTGTTGGCCACTTCCTCGCTGTTGCCTGCACTGTGTCCTTTTTGCTCTGCGGGGTTTACTCCTCTGCCACGCTTGCCCTGTGCAGCCGCTGGTACTTCAGTAGTAACCTTTGAGCCACAGGTACCCAGTGCTGCTTGTGTCCCTGCTCCCTCAAGGGTGCACTAGCTCTGGGAAGCTTTTAGTGCGTTTTTTGTAAAAAGCCTGGTTGGATGGGCCAGCAGCATTGCGCTTTCTAACTCAAATGATTCCTCAGTATTCAAGGCTGTCAGAGAAACAGTAAAAGAAAAGGAAAATCTTTCGAGGGCAACGCTGGAAGCATATTGCCTGGGCCATGTTTAAGAGATGCTGAGTTCTGGGAGGTGTGAGGAGGAGCTGTAGGCAGCAAACCTCTGAATTCTGAGCCACTGCTGTAGCTTCTTAAAAGGGCTACTTTGATTTCCATCTAAGTTTTTCTGCAGTGTGTAAAAAAGAAAAAATGGAATTGCTAGCTTGTGTGTGGCAAAGGGCTGGAGGAAAAGTGAGAAGCGGGATTAAAGAAACCCCAAACAGCTGCTATCGCTCTGATTCCATATTCCCATTATTTCTTTTCCATGATGTTTAAGACTGCAGCATCCTTTAAACTGTTTCGAAATAAAAATGTGCCATTTACAGTGTACAGCATAAAACGGCACCCTCCTGATTTTCCGCAAATGCATACGAGAAACTGGAGATCAGTGAAGGAAAGTTAAAGAAGTTGTTTAATTTCGTATCTGCCTGATTTTTTAATTTGGTTTGATTTTGTTTGTGGTTTTTTAGGCACAAACACATACTTCAGAGAAGTAGCCACGAACCTGGGTTTGAATGTAGTTTTTGTCGACTGCACAAAACTGAAATGCCTGGAAGCTGCAATTACACCAGAGACCAAGGTAGGGCAGAGGGAAATTGCTGAAGGTAATTGCTCAATGTCATGAACTAATTTTGTTCTTGCTCTTGTTGTGTGGAGTGTGTGAGTCAAGCAGAGGGGGCTGCAGGGGTGGCCTGTGTGGGGACAGGTCGGGGCACAGCTGATGCCAGCACGTCCCTAGTTGGGGACGTTTGTGGTGCCTCATTGCAAACATTTTAAAAAGGGCAAAAAACACAACAGAGAGAGAGAGGAGGAGGGAAAAAGTAAGAAAGAGCAGAGGGAACCCCAAGGTCGGAGGAAGCGGAGGTGCTCCAGGGCACTGCAGCAGATTGTCCCCTGCTCTGCTGGAAGATAACTCAGCCGGAAAGGCTTCCAAACTTCTGGGTCTTTTTTCTGACTGTGTCAGGCCTTCTTCAGGTGTGAGGCGCTTAGGTTTTCCAAAGCTCTGGTGTTCTTCCCATGTCTCAGTGGTTTGTGTGGCGAATCTTCCCTCTCCCCAGAAGCCTTGCCTTTCTTCAGCAGGGACAGGTTCTTATCTCCATCCTGTAAACCTGCCTGGGAAGCTGACCCTCAGCGAGTGAATGTTTAAAAGCACTTCGACTTCCACATGTCTCACCCCCAGCGCTGTATTTCTAAGTGTCTGAACTGATGTTTTGTCCTGTTGAATGACCGCAGCTCGTTTGGATTGAGACGCCCACAAACCCCATGATGAAGGTCATTGACATTCAGGCCTGTGCCGATATCGTCCATAAGCACAAAGATGTTCTGCTGGCGGTAGATAACACCTTTATGTCTGCATACTTCCAGGTGAGCGCTTGGTTTCTTTACAGTTGCCTCATTATTTTGGTGTATTTGAAAATAACGTTTTTAAAATGGAAGCGCCACCAAGGATCTGTGGTTTTGATCCGCGCATTATAAAATTGCTTCTTCTGCTTCGAAATACAACCCGTGTGCCACTGCTGTTTACATTTGTAACGATGGTATCAAAGTGTTTTATAGCGAGCTGTATACCAGTATGATAACAGCAAAACCAGCAGAGCTCAGCAGTCAGGTAAACACACTGGATGAGGTTAAGCCATGGGGGAACGGCTGCTCTGTCCTTCAGACATCACCTTTTTTTGGTTCTTGATGATGGAAATCATAACAGGCTGTTTAAAAGTGTCCTGTTTCCTCGCTTTGGCCCCTCTTACCAGTTCTTTTCTATATGCAGTTTGTGATCTCTTCTGAACCACTTGATATTCTAAAAGGGGAGCGTAAGAGAGGTTAAACCAAGCAAACTGTGTTAACTTTTTCTTTGAGACATTCAAGTTACTTTTTCTTCAATATTTTGGTGAATGTGTGGCTTAGAAATTTATAATTTTGATCTCCAACAGCTGGCATCACTTTTCTGCTTTTATAACTTGAATACATGAAGCAAAGACAATTTTTTAAATTCTAAAAGTGCTTCAGGATAATAAACTTCAAAGTCTTGTTCACGTTAACATGGGCTAGAAATATTCATAGGTATTTCCCAGGAGACCAAGCTCATCCCTTGTATTTCAAGTCTCAAGCAAAACTTCATGAGTGCAAAAGGCAAGGTGTCTTTGTTTTTGGTACAGGTACAGAGATCTTTAAAAATTAAGGAAAAAAAAAAAAGAAGAAAAGTGAGCACCTGGATATGTGAGCTAGTTAAGGTGTGTTTTGTTGGCATGGTGCTGAGAGGGAGTCAGGTATAACGTTTCATTCCAGTAAGCGCAGTAGGTCGTGTCTTTCAGCCCATCCAGGCTGCAGATGGTGGGTGCACTGCACTAGGAAGATCATAATTTTGGAATGGTTTGTACAGCAGCGTTGGAGGTGAACGGCGCTGGTGTTCATGCTGCCTGTGCATTGGGAATGCACGTTGTCTGCACTCCTTGGAGAGACCTCCATGTTCAGTCTGACAGCAGCAGTCTTTTATTCTGAATCTGCTTGCTTTGGCACCTTTTACCACAGTGGTGCTCTTCACTCTTTATATTAATTATTGATATTCATATAAGTGTATTATGTGCAAAGTCCTTTACTTAGTGACTGATTAAAAAGATTATATTGTTCGTTACTTTATCAGCATCTCCGTTTGTCTTTTTGCCTTAGAAAGGCAGAAGGGAGGAAAGCTGAGGGGTTAAGGAAGAAAGACCTGGCAAACAAAACTCTTTGCACTTTGTTCAGGTTCTCAGTTGTTCGTTGGGTGTGCTGTCACCACTACTGATCTTTAGAAAACAATGTGATGTTCTTTTTTTTGCGTTAAGTGTTTGTGGTGGATTTTTTTTTTAGTTTCTCCACCTATTGTTCTTGTCTGTGTTGGGTCACAGTCTTTCTGGGTAGCTTGAAATGAGCCAGAGCTCACAAAAGCTTTAATCAGACCTATTACTTTCATTTCAGCGTCCTTTATCCCTGGGGGCTGATATTTGCATGTATTCTGCCACGAAATACATGAACGGTAAGTACAGGAGTTGAGCACAACTCAGGCTGGCTATTGAAAAGCGAATCTGGCTGTGGGCAGTTCACAAAAGCCAGTGCCTCTGCCAGGAGTTCTTAGATAGACCGTTAGAGGAGATGGACCCTTGAACAGAGCCTTAGTCTTCACAGCTCCTGAACTGTCCCTGGGAGAAGGAGCAGTGACCTGGCTTCAGGTGCCTGGGGACGTGCATGCAGCATGCTGCAGTCATGCTGCTGAGCAGAGCTTTCGAAAAAGCTGAAATCTGCCTGAGGATTTGTGTGCTGCACAGGACGGATGGCTGTAGCGATGAGAAGGAACGCAAGGTCTTGCAAAAATGGGACTGTATGGGCACCAAGACCGAGAAAATGAGGGTTTGTGGCAGAACCCTGGTGCAGATGGAGTGACTGATTCCGGTCTTGTCTTCTTGAATTTTTAGGGCATGATGATGTTGTAATGGGTCTTCTTTCAGTAAACCGGGATGATCTCTACAAAAGGCTCAAGTTCTTACAAATCCGTAAGTAGTTAATGCAGGAAGTACCTTAAAACTAAATGTATTCAAATGTACAATGTGTATGTATGTATTCAAATATACAAAGTATACAATAAGAAATGTATTAAAATAAATTATATTCAAATATTGAATATTCATATATTCAAATATATGCAGTGGGGCCCCCAACATAAGAAAGGCCTGGTGCTGTTGGAGAGAGTCCAGAGGAGGCCACAAAGATGGTCAGAGGCTGGAGCACCTCCCCTATGAGGACAGGCGGAGAGAGTTGGGGGTGTTCAGCCTGGAGAAGAGAAGGCTCCGGGGGGACCTTATAGCAGCCAGGGGGCTACAGGAGAGATGGAGAAACACTCTTGGTTGGGGGGTGCAGGGATAGGACAAGGAGTAATAGAAGCTGAAAGAGGGCAGATTTAAATTAGATATTAGGAAGACATTTTTCACTGTGTGGGTGGTGAGGCAGTGGCCCAGGTTGCCCAGAGAAGCTGTGGATGCCCCATCCCTGGAGGGGTTCAAGGCCAGGCTGGATGAGCCTTTAAATTTTGCATTTGTTTAACTTCATCTAACTTGTGTCAAGTCCATCTGGGGTTTTTTAACTCATTCACACGTCAGGGGATGTGGCTAATGTAGAATTTTCATCTGTAGGGGGATGTTAACGATTTTACCGCCTCCTAATTGTAATGAATGAATTTCCGTACAGTGCTGTGTGTGCCTCCTGTCTACAGCAGGCGGAGTAAAGGGATATTATATCTGATAAATGTAATCCTTGAAGGTCTTCAGCTTGTTAATGCAGCTTCTTAATTGGCATCCCATGTGCATGAGATGAGGAAGACAGGTCACATCAGATGTCTTTCCACTTGTTCGAACTTTAGAAATTTTGTAAATGAGGACTGTATTTAGTTTTACTAAAAAAAACCTCTTTGTTTTATGTGAATTTTGTTTCAATTTCTGTAGATCTTGGACCTGTTCCATCTCCCCTCGAATGTTATCTGTGCAACCGTGGTCTGAAGACACTCCAAATCCGGATGAAAAAACATTTCCACAACGCACTAGCTGTTGCTCGATTTCTGGAGTCCCATTCCAGGGTGGAGAAAGTACTTTACCCAGGTGGGTTGGCAAGCCTTCAGAGCGGGTGACGTCTCAGAGCGATGGATTTGGGTACCGCTGTGCCACGTGTGGTTTGTGCGCCCTTCACAGCTGGGGACTCGGGGTTAGGTGTGTGCCTTGGCGATGGGCTGTTGCTCCAGAGCTGAGGGTGAGCTGCTTTACCCTTTGGTGTGATGGTGATTGACTGACAGCAACTTCTACAAATTCCAGGCTTGCCTTCCCACCCTCAGCATGAGGTGGTCAAGCGGCAGTGCACTGGCTGTTCTGGGATGATAGGCTTCTACGTTAAAGGAAATCTCCAACACGCTGCTGCCTTTCTCAAGAATTTAAAGGTAAGAAAGGCTATGTACAGGGACTTGGGCCTGTCCTTCTCAGGGTGATAATGGAAGGAAGTGGAAGGTAAAGCCATTGTGGTAAACCATGCTGAGAAGAGGATTCTCTGGTTGATAGTTTTAGTTATTGGATTGCTTGGGTTTTTTTAAAGGGAAAAAAAAAAAAAGTCAATATGAGCAACCAGGGCTGCAGAGAAAAGTTGAGGGCAGTAAGTGCATTCGCAGCAG